TTTAATAGTATATATGTTTAATACATATGCAGCTAGAATTAATCATGGAGCTGTAATTAGAAACTATATTTCTGATTACTTTTGCAGAAATGTCTTGCTGCCAGATTTTGTTTATACCTATGATAATTTTTAAATATATACATATTTTTTTTAATGAATGACTAGTTTAGATGTATTTTCCTAAGTAAATTCAACTCCAAACTTGTCCAAACACTTTGTGTTAAGATGCAGTTGAAGTATGGTGGTTACCAGAGGAGAAGGGGGTCGGGGTAGGATGAAGATGTTAAAGGGGGTCACATATGGTGATGGAAGAAGACTAGACTTTGGGTGGTGAGCACACAGTGCAATATACAGATGATGTATTTTAGAATTGTATACCTGAAACTTATGTTATTGCCAATGTTACCCTCAATAAATTTAATTTTCAAAAAAGGTACAGTTGATACGACACAGGAATTTTGTTTGGATATTAAGCTCTGATTTATTGTGTATTTGATCAAGTCTCATTCTGTCTCATTTCACTTCCAAACTATTGTTTCTGTCTTTTTGTTCATAAGGATATTTGTAAGACTGTATGAGTTTAATTATTTTAAGTGGTTATTAGTTAACAATTATGTTATTAATAATGTATATTGGGTTCAGTTCTGCAAACATTTCAATAACACTTGTTTTACCAGTGAGGAAACAGAGGTTTTGGTAATTTTGCCACAGTCACATAGCTTGGGCTTTGAAGCCCAGCATGATGATGTATCTGTTTTAGATAGAAGGGCTTTATTAAGCCTCTGGAAACTGGAAGAAATCATTGGACTTGTTCCTGAGACTCTTAAATTAGCCAGCCCAAGTAATGCAGTAAACAGTTATCTAGTGCCCAGAGTTTTAGCCATAGAAATGGAAGTGGACCCATTAGGGTAAGGAACTCATCAGAATCCCCTCAAATATTTGTATATATCATTTCTTGTGGCAAGTTGAGCAGGAGGAAAGAGAAGTTAACACTTACTGAACACTCAACATGGTTAGGCATACCGAACTTTACCACAACCTTCGGTATAACTAGTATCCAATTCTTGTGGATTAGTAAACTGAGACTCAAGTTAAATAATACATCTATAGTAAAGGACAAAACCAGATTTTGAAACTTGATATGTCAGGCTCCAAAGCCCATGATCTTTACACTGTGATTTCCCAGACTGTCTAATCACAGAAATCATCTAAGGTGACTGTTTAAAAAATGAAATACTGAGCCATGGGGCTTCTGGAACTTCTGATTCATTTTCAGTTTGGGGTAAGGCCAGGTAATGTATCAGTAACAGGAACCTCAGGTTATTCTGATCATCAGGCAGGTTTGGGAAATACTACCAACTCCATGAGTACTGAGAGGTGGGATTTGAAGGTATTAGGAGAGCAGGAATAGGGCTGGGAGTAGAAAGAGGAGCTTAAAAAAAAAGCTGACACTTTATTAGTTATTAATACTAGCAAAATGAGAATAGTAAGATTGGATTGTGGAAATTATAAAATTGCTTTAGGTTTCTTAATCTGCACCAAAAAAAACCCACAATGTTTTGTTTTATTTTTATTAGTACTTCTTTTTCAGGTGACAACATTTGTACAATCTGTTCTCTGGCATTATCTTTGCTTACGCTTGGGTACAAAGGCATCACTGAAGGATGAAGATAAAACTGTGTTTTTGATGCAGAAGAGAAAGAGGGACTTAGAAATAACATAAAAACAGCTTTAAATAAATACAGAATCAGTAATTTCCATGGGTGTAAAAACCCCACAAAATCTTAACTTTAATCTTTAAAGTCACAGGATTATAACATTTCCAAGCTGGAAGAGCTCTTAGATATCCACATGTTTTATGCATGAAGAAAACCACAACTCAGAGAGGCTTAAGGGCTTGCCCATAGTTAGTGGCAGATTTTCACATCCATCCTAGCTAAAGTTTCATTGAACTCATGGATTGCATATAAGTACCAGACAATAGTGACTTTTCCAAGACCACAATGCTTTTAGAAATTAGTAGTAAATCATGTTTACCTTACATTTCCTACTTTGTTTATCTAATTTTATGGTTTTTTTTAAATTGTCTCGAGAATATAAATATATTTAAAGGAGTCTCTTTTAGAAGATCATGCAGTTTGAAATATTATAACTGATTAATGATATGTTAGAAAAATTAACTATTACCTTCTTTGAATAGTGTATTTAACAAATGGACACTTTCAGAACATGTTGTGTTAAGGAAGAACTCTAGTTTCTCCAGCGTAGCTAAATGCCTATGCATGAATTCTAACAGTAATTATGACAGCATTTCAGCATAGTAGTATGAACTTAGGATACAGACTTGGGTTAAATTATCTGCAAATTTACTAGCTCTGTGATCTTGGACAAGTTATTAACCCTCAACCTAATATTTTTTCTTCTCTACTATACATAATAACATACCTCATGGTTTATTAATGATTAATTGGGATTAAACAAGGGAATATGTGTAACATGGCTAACACTATACCTTGACAAAAAAATAATAAGCATTGCATAAATGCTAGCTGTTATTACTTATTCCTTGGGCTAGTAGTTATTTAGAAGAATATTAATTTCTGAATGAGTGTTTTATTTCCTTATTCAATTTTTTATCGTAATCAGAAAATATCTGCAATTCTTGCTTTTAAGAATTTTGGATTTACTTTGTAGCCTAGAATACGGTCAGTCTTTATAACTTTTCACAGTTATACTTGAAAAGAGCCCATATTTTTTTACATTATAAAATTTAGTAGCTACCTATTCTAATATAAATTATTTCATATGCTTTGTCCTTATTTTGTTCATTATGCTAGTTGATATTAGTGTGCTAAAATTTTTCCTTCCATTTGGTTTCCATTTATTTCGTATTATAGTCCCCAAAATATTTTATGTTTCGTGGCTAGGTTAGTCTGTGATTAGATGTTCAACACTATTTTGCGTTTTTTTTTTTTTAATGACTTATTTGAGAAAACACATGCTAATGGTAGAAAATCCGAAAAATAGAGAAACATACACAGAAGGAAATAAACATCTTTACTGTTACTATGAAATATCGTTAAAAGATTTAAATGTGACTACGAGTAAGGGCTTTAGAATCAGATTCGGGTTTGAATTTAGGTTCTGCTTATTACCTTAGACAGGATATTAGACTTTTTCATTTATTCAACAAATATTTATTAAGCATCTACTATGTGCCAGGCATTTTTCTAGGGGCTGAGGACACTGCTTAAAAAGATTAACATACTGATCTTGGCTTAATTTTTTCATTTGTAAATTAGTGATAATATCTTGTAGAGCTGTTAGAAGCATCAGAGATGATGTATAATACTTAGCACTTGCCTGGTGCATGGTAATTGCTCAGTAAATGATAGCAATTATTACCACTACATATATATTATATATGCTAAGTACTAATTATGTTTTTAGTCCAAATCAAATGACCTTTTAATCGGCTTAAGGTTTTTGCCTCACAGTTTAGTTTTGGCCTTATTATTACAAAAACTTTCTTTTTCTTTGTGCTTTTCTATACTTATGTGTTTGGTTTGGGGTTCTCAGCAGTGATTGTGTGGGTTTTTTAACCTTTTAAAAAATATAACCTACGACTCTTAAAATTTGTATTATCAAACATTTCAAACACATACCAGAGTAGAGAATAGTATAATGAACCACAATATTCCCATAACCCAGCCTCAAAGATTATCAATTTATGGCCAGTCTTGTTTCATCTGTACACCCCCACCGTCCATGCACACATACTCCCTTTCTTACCCTCTCTGGCTCCACTGGATTATTTTGAAGCTAATTCTAGATGCATCAGTTGAGAAGGAAATATTTACATTTATATTTCTTAAAACAAAGATTTTTTAAAACAATTACCACACCATCATCACTCATAAAGACATTCAATAATTATGTAATAGCATCAAATATCCAATATGACCCTTGATTTTAATTAAGTACTTTAAACTTTACATTTCTTACATTATTACTTTTGGAATGATTTCTCTAAGTTCTTTTATTATTATTATTATTATTATTATTATTATTATTATTATTATTATTCCGCCATATGGATTGCTTTGTTTGAGGAAGTTCGAAAATATCGAAGAAAGAATTATGGAGCTGGAAAGACCTGGGTTTGAATCTTGCTTCTGCCATTCACTAATTAACTTTACTGAGCTTTTATTTCCTCATCTGTAAAATAGGGATAATTATATCTACTTCATGTTCTTAGGATTGAATGTGATGCTTGTGTAAAGTAGTATTCACAGTCTTTGCCAATTATTATCTTCTAGTGATTTGGACTGCAATAAATAAAATTCTCAGTTATTGTATGGTTTTTTCAAAACATTGCAAAATTTGTGTTTATTAGCTAATTACTAAAATAGTAGTTTTCAAGTATCCTTTTAGGAAAGACAGAGAATTCAGAACTTTGTTTCTCCCTTCTTCTACTACTTCTTTTATTTTGAGTCCAAATTAATTTAGCCTGAGGTTACAAACCTTACCTTTAACTTTCTAAAGTTTTATATTATTTATATACTTATATCAACATTTATTCTTCATTATTGACCCTTTCTTTTTTAGTGGGGTTATTCTGTTCAGTTATTTCAAGATATTAAGTTGGTGTCAATATACTTCACCAGTTCTTGCCTTCTTTAATATTCTTGAGTTCTTATTTTGATTCTCTTTTAATGGTCTAGGACATACCTTTGAACAATTTATGAAAAAAGATACTACCAGGATGATGAAATTTTTTAAGACTTTACAGATCTAAGAATAATTTCCTGTGACCTTTGTACATAAAAAACTAGGACAAGGTATAAAATCCTTAGATCATAACTTTTCCCTTTCAACTCTCTGTAAATCATTATTTCATTATCTTCTGGCATTTTATTGTTACAGAGGAAAAATCTGAGGTCAATCTGATTTTAGTTCCTTTGAAAATAACCTATTTTTTTCTGCTTGTATGCTTGTAGGATTATATCTTTATCCTTGAAATTTAAAAACATTTGCCAGGACATGTCTTGGTGTTGATGATCTCTGTTGAACCTCTCAGTCTCCAGTCTCAGGTATTTTTTTTCAGAACTGGAAAGTTTTCTTATACTTTTGATTAATTAAACTGCTCTGTTTTTTTTCTTTAGGAACATCTGTTATTCATAGATTATTTCTATGTCTGTCCTCCATAGTTTTTAAATCTTTTCTTTCATCTTTTTTTTTTTCATTTACTCAAGTTTGTCCTCTGTGGCTTGGATTCCGTTTTCTGCGGTGTCAATGCTAATACTTGCTATTCACAATGCAGATTTAATTTTGACTACCGTGTTTTCTTTTCTTTATTCTTATCTCAACATACTCTTGTTTCATAAGCAGAATTCCCCTTAAGGGTACACTCCAAAAAACATGAGGTGGATTCAGGCCTAAAACGTATCTATTTTCTAAAGCCACAACCATTGGACCAGAAGGGGAAAAAAAAGAATAAAAGCTTCTGAAAGGGCCCTCTAAAACTTCAAAATGAAGGTATAACCAGAGGTCATTCCTACCCTAGTCTAGAAAATAGAACAGACTTGAGTACTAGCAGGCCTTTAGTTGCTAGTGGAATAGCAAAGCAGGCATAAGGGCACCTTAACTAGAAAAATGGATTTTTTTAATACGTTGTTTTTTCTCTTTATAAAAATGATATATAATAAATGCCTATACTTTTGAAAATACAGTACAAAGAAGAAAGTCCTATGACCCAGGTAATTACCAATAAGATTTTATATGTTTTGCCAGTTACATGCACACATGTTGGGAGGGGGTACAAAATTGGGGTCATACTGTGTAGTGTTGTATCCTTTTTAATTTAATATATTGCAAGCATATTTTTGCATCATTTTTCTTTGAGGCCCTGATTTTAACCATTGCATAGTATTCCTACATATGAATAGATGTATTATGATTTATTTAACCAGTCTCCTGTTGGTCATTTAGATTGTTTTCTATTTTTCAGTATAATGAGTATGATGAATATCACTGTACATAAGTCTTTATGCACATCTCTGATATTTCCTTAGGATAAATGAGGAGCTGATTCTTAATCCTGTCACATTGGTAAGGATTATATACATTCCTTATTAAGAATATAAAATGCTTGTTTCTTATTGTTTCAATGTGATTGCATAGAAGATTCTTTGGATTCCAAACAATTTGATGATATCTTAACCGAAGTTTGAGAGAGGTCTCTAATGCCTCATCCTCAGTACCTTCATGAAACTCCTATCACATATGCTTTGGGCAGGAAAACCACTGCTGATATCAGGGAGTTTGGAAGGCAAACATACTGGTGGAAACTTGAGAGCGGTAAAAAAAAAAAAGAAAGAAAGGTGGTCCTTGCTTGTTCCTACAACCCGGGTCTCCAAATTAATACACTTGGGTCTGGACCCTTTCTTTTCCTACTTACTTCCTCTTATTTCGGGCTGTTCTCTGTGAGGAATTCTTTTCTCCCAATGTCCATATGTACATTTCATTCCTAGGTAGGAAGATGTCAGTACATGGTATGTCCTAAGTTAAGGGCAGCATTTGAAAAATCACAGATCATTTTTTTTTTTAGTCCTAGTACACTTGTACATGATGATCTCTGCTGGACTGAAAGCATTTTTTAAAATTTATATTTCATTCAAAGGTATCAAACAGCAGCCTGTAAATGAGCATTGTTGTAACATGCTATTACAACAAAACAATCTGTTTAGAGGGATTGCTTAAAGTGAAACTTTTAAATTAGGAAAATGTTCTTATTTTTAACGTTTCAGAATTTTTCCTTATAATACTTGGGGATACTTTAGAAATCCTGAAGCCTTGGTTCAGAATTACTGATTTGAATCGTTCATCCTCTTTAAACCAGGAAGATGATGTTAAGTGATAGTTTTATA